TTTCTTTGGATACAAATCGGTGGGCTTGATGCTTGACGTACTTTTCTTTGAAAGTCGGAAAGAAATGGGTGTGAGCGAGAGGGTCGAGTGAACGAACTATGTATGGACTCCCAGATATTTTGTAAATATAAAGAGACAAAAACCAATGAGAGGTGAGAAGAAGAAAATCAGACAAAAAACGTGCAGGCAAGGTTACCATGTCAGACATTAGGAGTAGAGAATCGGGGATGGATTGGAAAAGAGAACGAGGTGGATCAGAAAAGAATCATTTCCTGCCCGTTTGTAACGGGTTTGGTCGCAGAACGGACTAAAATGATCCCTTAAGGCCTTGTTTGATAGCAAGGGATTATGGAGGTTTTGGGAGGTGAGGCTTCCAGGGGATTTGGTGAATCCCCCTCTTCCATCTAATCCCCTTGAAACCTCAAATCCTCCTCCAGCCACACATCCTTCAAATCCCCCTCTATACAAAATAATGATTGACAGGAACGGATTGCCATATTGAATTAAAATGGTGTGAAGCAGTTAAAAATCTAATCTTGCAACGGTTCTTCACATGAACAACATAATTCTCTTGACTTGGAATCAATATATCATCACATAATTGCGCTGTCACATAACAACAACATATTCTCTCACATCAGCATGACTTAGAACCAAAAATGTCTCGTAGGTTCTCGGCATTCACAAGTCCCAGGCAAGACATGCGTACATTTAAGCATGCTGAGAATACATAAGCATGCTGAACTATTTATGCAACATAGAGAAAAGCATCACTTGATGTTCTGCAGCGAATGTTGGAAGAGAGTACATGACAGGAGCATAAATTCCAACTACAAGTCAGTAGTAGCGCAGACACGAAAGCAACCGAGGAGACTCTCAAACAGACGATTTCGAGGGGCCCTACAAATGTCTCATTCTCCCTCTGCTTCTTCCACTTCTCAACCTGGTTCAGTGGGACCTGGAGGAAAACAAAATTCGTCTCAGCAAACAAAGAGACTTTTCCCTTCCATAAACAACAACGATCAGGTATATTTAAAGGAATATTAAGAGCACAAAATACAGAATTAAAAAGAGAACAAACTTAAGCTTCGTTCAACTTCAGAGGCTGTAGACTGTTTGCAAAGGGAAAATTACAATGAAGAAATTGTATGAGTTATTTCATGGCCTTGTTAGAGCTACATCAAGAGGTACAGGACTAGTTTTAGATTAAATCAAATAGTAATAAACACAAAAGCAAGAGGAATCTGATGTGACACGCAAGATGCAACTTGATGGGCCGAAGATGGATGGACCAGTCAGGTCACCTGGTGGCTGGTGAGATACCACAAGATCTCTGTATTTATAATCAGACCAAGGATTCTGATTGTATGAAGATGTTATGTGGTGCTACAATGTATGAAGATGTCAGGGAAGCTAACAATCTGGATTACGTCTCCTGATGGGTAGTATATCCAACTGACACTCATGAACAGACGATTTCTAGTACTATTATAGATAAGCAAGGAAACTTGTTAGAAACATCATCGTTGTTTCTTTATTGCCAAACAAGTTCAGTGTCGTTGGCTGCAGTGATTTGCATATGTCCGCATTCACAATTCCGAGCAAAGGTTGCATAACAGACCAAACCAAGATGAACTAACAAATAGGATCGTAGCAATAACTACTCAAGAAAAAGGAGATCACATTAAGAACTGGACACCTGGTAGACAAATTAAATAAGCACCTGTACTATTTCACAAGATAATGAAACAGTACCGCCACACAAGCATCACAAGTTAAAAGGCGACATGGTCCGAACAGCTAACGAGTATTACAGTGAACCATCGATCGACCAAGAAGACAGGAAATAGCCCAGCCTATTTAGGAGGAGGTGAACTTATTTCCGATAAACATCAAGGTAAAAGTACTCCAGATCACCACTCTTGCTTACAGGAACCAACTTCTAGCTAGAAATAGGCAGCAACTGTCAAACTTGACATATACAGTGACAATATTGTGCTCCAAACTGGCTAGCTAGATTATACTGATTGCAAAGATATGCTATCTTATATAGTCACAAACCAAAGCTCGAGCAAGGCAAAATCATGGCGCTGATGTTGTTCATCATTACGTTGACATGAACACAACCAACATTTTCTACTGTGAAATATATGCACCAGCCAGCAATTTAGTAAATCAGTTCTATCATCTAATTAAGTCAGCTCTAAACTGAAGAATTGCAGCATCTAAATCTTGACAGGTAGCACAAAGAAGAAGGGGATGCATAAGATTGTTACCTTAGATACGTTGAGGCAACTCTTCCATTTCGCTCCGAAGAAACACAGGAGCACTCTCTTCATCTTCGGCGGCAGAACCTAGAAAAACCATCTAGTGAACAGCGTGAAGGTCCAAAACAAGAGTCTCAGGATGTATGCGGTCTGGCAGAAAAACAGTATGAGATCCCTCGAAAACACCCATCAACATCAAGTGAACAAATTGGAGTCCCAAAAAAATATTACCAAAAAGAAATATTCCAGTAGCGACTCTCAATTCACTGCAGGGTACGTCCTTTGTCGTGATTCTGCCAATTTTGTCTTGCTTTCTCGTTTATTTCCCTTCTTTCTTTATCAACCCATAGCATTGCAGTACCCTGACGGCCAAGCCAAAAATTATTAAAGATAATGAAGCCTAAACTACCCTCATTACTTGTTAAATCACATGTCAGCTCTATCAATCAGTAATAAATATCATAGATCATCATCCCAAACTTTCAATTTTATTTTGCAACTGTCATTGGGATTTCATACATGCATGGAGATGATTTTTTCAAGCTCTATGTGACCGATGAGAAATTTATCACAGGACTATCGACCATTGAGATGAGGGATTGCTTCTCCATCAATTAGGCCGGGGACATCACCACAACCCAACAAGTCCTCCTCCTTTGCATCAACTACTAAAAAATCTTGACATCTCCGGCAATGGACGTTTTAAACCTGGATTCTCTCCTAACAAATATGCAGAGCACTCATCCATTTCAAATAAAATGAAATAAACATCTCATTCTACAATATTGCTACAAACTGTCAATCCTCCTAGATCCATCAGACCATCACCATCACCATCAGAAAATCACGGCAATCTCGCCGGGTAGGGTTACGGTCGATGAGTGGCTAGAAGAGGACAGCGTTCTTGAGAAAGAGAGTGTGATGACGATTGTACCGAATCCAAAACAAAATGCAACTCAACTGTGAAACATTGAGTCTCTACTCCTAATGCATAGAAACATGGGTAGAGATGGGAACTATCAAAGCGGTTGGAACTATCTGGGACGAACAGCGTCATCATCTTATACTGCTGGCGTCAACACCATTTGGAACATACTTACCAGTGCAAATATTGTAGACTTTCGGCTCATATGATAAGGTACAAAGAATGCCACCAACTTTTAACCCTTCAGATATAGATCATTAGGCCACTTTATCCTTACATCTAGCTCTGGAAGTCCCTGGGTGTTATCACATAGATAGTACAGGATGTCATGACAAGGAAATTAGCCTTATGAAATATCATACTGCAATCAGTGAACATCACATATGCGTAAGAAACACCGAATATAATAGTACTTCATAAACCCTCACCTTAGCACAACACAAATCTTTGATGGCTTCGGTCATGGCAAGGAAAACGACATATTGCATAAGGGGAAGCATGCGAGCATCATTCATCTGTGATGTAAACGAGAACATGAGACAACCTGGAGATGATTCCCCCACACATTCTTTGATCTTCCTGCAAAGTCATTGGCAAAAGATCACTATTAACAAGCTCTGCTCAATTAAGCATACAAAAACAATGAATTTCTAGAACCATAGAAGGTGGAAATAACTAAAATAAAAGCTTGGTTGAAGTTGTCAAACTACAGTCAGAGGATCTACAAATGGTAGAAATCATCTTTTTGTGGAACTACACTTTTCAGCAAAGACAAAATTTGAAAACCTGTTCATCGCATACATGCCATGGGTCATTATTTTCTCAACAATTGACTACTTTTCTAACCGTCGTTCATCGGATTCGGATACATCAGATGGACCATAACATTACATATGTGAAAACGAAATGTCAACGATATATACATACATGTAAAGCACCACAACAAGCAGAGAAACACATTTGCTTGGCCATCCTTTGACACAAATAAATGCTCATCATATATATCAAAAGAACCAGCATAAAAGATTACAAGAGAATATTGAAGAGACATATATAATGAACAACATATATGGTCAATTAAGGATTTGCAGTGCAACACAAGCTTTACAGTTGACATAATAAGAGCTAGAACCTATAAAAGCCTTGCTGCAACTTTGACACAAAAATATCAGGAAATATCTGCAGTATGACAACTTTTAGTTACGTGGAAGCTTTTCCATTATGTCACTGACATTTTCCACTCCACATCAATCCCACTTGTATGAAGAATAGACGGCAGCAAAAATATATGTAAAGTGCATAATTCATGTAACATAATCATTCTCATAAATGATAACTCGAGAAGGAAAATAGGATAGCAATTGTCATGGTGCAAATAAATTTCCCTGCCGACTCAAACTTCCAGCCTTGGCTCAAAAATTCGAAAAGAAAAAATAGTTGTGTAAAAGCAAACACTGGGGCCTAACCAACCTACGTAATGCTTTTGGAAGTAGACCACGACTTGCAAAGAATGTTTTCATGTACAGGAACCTAATTGATACTATCTTTTTAAACATTTTCCCTTCTTTAATATCGTCAGTTACCCGCTAACTAAACAAAATGATGTACAACTCGAAAGGTAGAAGCAGTAGACACGTACTCTATCAGAAGCGAACTTTGGTTCGGACAAAATCCAAGGTGCAGCTTCGAGTACTTTTGCAAGAACACATGCATATCCTGGCTGTTTAGCTGATATATCATTAGGGAGAACATCAGCACGACTGGGCAAATAGCAAGCTATCTGATGGGTATAATATTTGCTGAGCCCATTAGCATAGAAAACCTGGAGTAACAAGCAATAAGAATGATCAAAGATACATCCATTGAAATAATTAGTTAAAGCACATCACCCCTTGAAGAAGTTTCTAATGGAGAAATTGTAAAAATTCATAATAAAGCTTCATATTCGGAGACAGTCTAATTCAGATGCAATGGCAGTTGTCGTATTTGCAGCATCAAACAAAACATTTTGCAGTTTATATGTTCTCAATGCATAAGTTTGTCTTGAGGAAAAAAGATATATCGAACAAGAAATCATGGAAACAGCTCACCTTCTTGAAGTTTGGCAAACGATGCCAAAAGAATGGATAGAAGCTGCAAGGAAAAACTCCAACTTGGATCCACAGCTGGACAACAACATTGATTACCACCAACATGTGAAGCAGTAAGCATGAGAACTTGCTCCATAGCAGATATATCACAGTGCTCCATATTTCTTGCATTTTGCTGGATAACAATCAGATCCATCACAAAACAAATCAAAGAAGAATAACTAAACGCTACTGCACTTGGACATACCAACGAATGCAAATCAGAACCAAGCTAATAATAGCTGTTGCCATGCTTTCTTTATGTTTGCCAAGGGAATAGAAGTTTGTCGCTTTGAGTTTTTAAAGACAAATACTAAATAAAAACTAAATGTTTTCTCTTTGTATTCAAGTTTCACTTTCCATCTTGTGGTTCATTGCCTTGTAAAGTTGTAATTGCTTCGGAGAAGAATCTTAGAACTACGAGATGAGTATAGCCAAAGTGATAAAGGAATATATTGTATTAGTTTATGTTGTATATCGGGATAGTAACAACACCTTGTAGTAGGATGTATACAGATATGTGCGAGTGATAAAGAACTATGTGAGCATATTGATCATGGAAAAGGCCGGTATGTATGATCACAAGAACAGTATTGATACAGGCATATTCCTTCAACTGAAAGAAGACTTATTCAATGATTATATATTGTGGTCAATAAGTTCCCTAAAAAAGTAGAGACGCTGGTAACAACAAAATATCAGCCAATACTGGAATAGAACATACCGGTACTGCACTGATAATTCCCCGAAATAAGCAATAAATCTTTTTCTGCTGAAGATACCCAACTACTTTGCAGTTCCACGACAGTTTAAGATTTATCAAACAAGCCACAGCTTCTAGTAATTGGACAAAAGGCATTGATGTGCTTTGCACTGACATCAAAAGTTGATTATTCCAATCATACCTATCAAAATACAATAAATAAGTCAAATGAAGCGTTGTTCATTTCATTTGGGTGATAGAAAAATAGCATCTCCACGAGCCTGGAGATGAGCTACACAATTACAGAAAGAAAAATGAAGCAGGACATAAGAAACAAAGTGAATAGGCACAATATCAGTATAACAAAGCAAATATATCCAGCATAGTTTTCCTCTACTAACATCACAAAATAAAATTTATACCATATTAAGGTGTAACAGATGCAAATCCACTCAACAAATTTGCTATTTCTTGAACTATTTATCCCATACAGCATGCAGCAACTTCAGATCTTCAGTAACATCAACTGAACATACAACAAACAGAACAACACAATTCATCTACCCACCAAAGTGACAGACATTGAATTGAAAAATCATCAGAGAGACACACTAAAAGGGACAACAAAACAAGCACCAATTGGCATACATATTTGACGCACCTCTGCCTTTGAACTGCGCGTCTGTGGTGCACACGACGCCCACCAGAAGTTTGGCAAAGTTTCCTGCAGGCAGAGGGGAAGCAAAGAGTAAGCCCAATTTGAGTGATTTCAAGAGGAAATTCATCGTCTCTTTCTTTTTCTGATGGAGCGAGACTGAAAAGAACAAAATCTTGCACTCACTGTGTCACGAGGTCGTGCGTGGATGCCATCCGCGGCGACCAAAGAATCCACCTCCCGAAGCGCCTTGCCTGGAGCGCGCCTATGTAGGTGGCCACGTCGAAGCCTGCGTCCCGCTGGTGTTGAGCGCGAGGGAGACAGCGAGCTCGCCCCCGCCCTCCTCCGCCAGAGAGAGCTCGCCGGCGGCGGGGTTCCGCCGCTGCTGCTATGCTCGGCTGCGGGAGCGGGAGCGGCGCCCCGGCGCGCACATCGTGGGGAGCCTGGCCAGCGCCGGCGGCGGCTCCACTCGGTCCTCCGCGGCGGCTCGTCTTGGATCTCGGCGGCGGCTCGTATTGGGGGTTGGGGCGTCCTTGAGAGATCGTAGGATAGAACGACGGATTTTTTTGGCACCGGTTTATTTCGATGGAGGGCAGCGAGTAAGCAGAGGTGGGAGGATGACGAAAAAAACCGATGATGGAAGGATGACGAAAATAAACCAGCGAAAATAAACCGCGCGGACTATTCACCAACTGCTCCATCTCTACTCCTAATGGACGAATTGGTTGAATAGTCCCCCCCACTTTCAACCGGTTTATTTTCAACCGGTTTATTTTCAACCGGTTTTTCTTCGTCCCACCTCCCACCAGCCCCTCCCACCGGTTTTTCTCTTTTCTCGTCTGACCGGCAATACCCAACGTATTTATGGTAATCAATCATAATTAATCCACGTATAGTAATAAATCAATCCAGGTATGGTAAGGTCATAACTCAGGAAATTTTGAATATGGCAATTATATGGTAATAAATTTAAATTACCCCAAAGGCTATCAATCCAGATATGGTAAGGCCATAACTCGGGAAATATCGAATATGGTAATAAATTTAAATTACCACCAGGTATGGTAAGGCTATCCACGTATAGTAATAAATCATATAGTAATAAATCATAATTAATCCACGTATAGTAATAAATCAATCCAGGTATGGTAAGGTCATAACTCAGGAAATTTTGAATATGGTAATAAATTTAAATTACCCCAAAGGCTATCAATCCAGGTATGGTAAGGCCATAACTCGGGAAATATCGAATATGGTAATAAATCAGCGATCCGTCCGCATTACTAGCTCATCCGATAAATCAGCGATCGAGTAATTAAACCGTGCAGTAATTAGTTCCGTATATGGAAGGAACCGCCGGAGTATTCCATAGATTAGCCACAGGATTTTGGCAATCTCGCTGTGGCATCTCGGATTTCGGAAATCACGCGCCCGCAGACGCCGCCGTGCCCCCCCTGCAACCACCGCCGGAGTCGGAGGCGAACGCGATCGCAATCGCGACGTGTATATATATACAAGGATGTACTACGTGCACAAGGGCCTGCAAGCAAACCCCAGTGCTCCTGATCACCATGCATTTCTTCCAGGTCGTCATGGCGTGGATGTTCCCGTGCGCCGTGTGGGCGGCGATGGCGCCGGCCGTGGCGACGGCAGCGACCACGGATGGCGCTTCGAGCGTTGAGCAGGGCAGCTCCTCGTCGCCGGCGTTCGGCCCTGGCGACGCTAAGGTGGCCTCCGACCCGGGCTCCTCCCCGGCGTCGAGGTCGTCCACCTCCTCCTCCTTGCTCGGCGCCCGAAGCAGCTCGACGAACAGCGTGCGCTCACCGGTGAGGGAGGGCGGTGACACGGCCGCACGGAAGGGCCACGCGCTAAGGCGGTGCTCCT